GAGGACGCAGTGACTCTCCATCTACTTACACCTCCCCTTACTTAATGTAGCAGTGCTCCCACAGTATTTCTGATTCTTCTATAGCTGTTCCTGAAGTAGGAACAGCTCATCTTGGTGCCATTGAATTCCCCTTTGAGTTTCAATTGAGTTTTGGTGTGAAGCATTGCTGTGCCTGGAGGATATTTTCTTTGAAGACAAGATGTATCCAGGCACACTGTGAAAAGGATTCATCTGTTCCTTGCCTGTGTCATCAGGGGTGTGAGTACAGCCCCCACTGCAATGTGCTTCATCTTCACGCAATGCCTGCAGCTGTTGGGTAGAGAAGGGACAGACCTTGCCCCTCTGATGGTATCTGATGACTGACGCCTCTGACTGATTGAATCAGCCAATGGCACACAGGCAGCCATCCGCACTCCCTGTGATGCCACCTGGTGTTCCTTGCCTGTGTCATCAGGGGTGTGAGTACAGCCCCCACTGCAATGTGCTTCATCTTCACGCAATGCCTGCAGCTGTTGGGTAGAGAAGGGACAGACCTTGCCCCTCTGATGGTATCTGATGACTGACGCCTCTGACTGATTGAATCAGCCAATGGCACACAGGCAGCCATCCGCACTCCCTGTGATGCCACCTGGGGTGTCTGTCACACACCCGCCCTGAATGGGCATTGCTTTCCTGTTGGTCATCGAATCACAGAATGGTTTGGGTGGAAGGGACCTTAAAGATCATTTAGTTCCAACCCTCTGCCATGGCATCCACAGCTTCTCTGGGCAACCTGTGCCAGTGCCTGAGCACCCTCCTAGTGAAGAATTTCTTCCTTCTATCCAGTCTAAATCGACCCTCTTTCAGCCATTAACCCTTGTCCTATCCCTGCATGCCCTCGTAAACAGTCTCCAGCTTTCCTGTAGGCCCCCTTCAGGTACTGGGAGGCTGCTATAAGGCCTCCCTGGAGCCTTCTCTCTCCTAGGCTGAACAACCCCGACTCTCTCAGCCTGTCTTCATGGGAGAGGTGCTCCAGCCTGCTCATCATCTTTGTGGTCCTCCTCTGGACTCACTCCAACAGGTCCATGTCTTTCTTATGTTGGGGGCCCCAAGGCTGAAGTAGGTACTCCAGGTGGGGTCTTATGAGAGCTGAGTAGAGGGGGAGAATCAACTCTCTTGACCTGCTGGTCACACTGGTTTTGATGCAACTCAGGATACAGTTGGCTTTCTGGGCTGCAAGCGCACATTGCCAAGGCATGTCTAGCTTCTCATCAACCAACAATCCCACCTCCTTCTCCACAGGACTGCTCTCAATCCATTCTCCACCCAGCTTGTATTTCTGCATGGAATTTTCCTGACCCATGTGCAGAACCCTGCACTTGACTTCTTTGTTGAAATTCATGAGGTTTGCATGGGTCCGCCTCTCAAGCCTGTCAAGGTCCCTCTGGATGGCATCCCTTCCCCCCACTGGGTCAACTGCACCACACAGCTTGGTGTCATTGGCAAACTTGCTGAGGCTGCACTCAATCCCACCGTCCATGTTGCTTAGTTGCCAGCTGGGTTAAACCAACAAAGATGTTAAACAGCACTGGTCCCAATACCAACCCCTGAGGCACGCTGTTTG